GTCCAAGCCCCGTTCTCGACGAAGTCCTCGCCCTCCACTGTTCTCAGCACCCCGGTACTCTGTCAACGTCTCCCCTGTGCTACCGCAAAGTCGTACTAACGTTTTGCCGATTGATACGCTCGTGATCTTACGTATAGATGGCTAAACTGACTGGGAGTAGCAACTACAAACTCTCCGAAGTCCAACGACTGCTGACTCTCGTTGGCAAGTTCCTTCCTCTTGGTGAAGATGAGTGGGAACGTCTAGCAACCTCCTACAACTCGAACCGCAGTCGTGGCATCTCCGAGCGTGACTACGAGAGTCTACGGCGAAAGTTTAAGTTGCTCTACAGCACCCGCAAACCAACGGGTGTGGCAGACATGCCTCCACACATCAAGGAGGCGAAGATTCTCAAGAAGAGCATCGATGACAAGGTGGGGTGGCGGAAATGGACGACGGTGCCGACGTAGACGGCCAAGCCGAAGACGAAGAGGATGTCCAGCCCGACTTCAGCTTCGACTTCGAAGGCGATGACGACATTGGCAACACCAAAGCCAGTGCAACCAGTCTCCACTCAGCCATCTACCTCCGCGATGTGTTGATCGACGACCCCACCACTCAAGTCGGCAGCATGGACGATCTGCTGGACCCGGATGCTGTGTGCGAAGGGCTAGAGGCGTTTGCCGGTACTCCGAGACCGTCCCCAGTTTGTACCAGATCCTCGCAACGACAGTTGCGATCCACTGGTTTGCCTAAGCCGAATGTGCCACATGCTTCGACCTCAAGCGTCAACAGCGTGGAGAAAACCTCCTCGGGTCGTGCTCGCGACGCAGATGAATCGACGCGGTACCTCACGTCATCCAACCGCCTGGGCGGTGGCAACCTAGCCGAATTTCGAAACACTGCTGGGCGCAAACGCGATGACGACAACGATGATGACCTCTTTGAGGCCAGCTACGCCAAAGTGAAGCGAGAGAAGGCAACGAAGATGGCCACCCAACTGAAGAAACGGCTCAGCAAACTGGAGACCGGTTCCACTGCAATGGGGAACAATATCATTGAGCTGATGATGCTCATGCGTGAGGATAGCGAGCGCAGAGGTGAAGCTTGGCGTGCAGATGAAGACCAGCGCCGACGCGATGAAGTCGCAGCACGCGAAGCCCTACGCCACGCCGGGAAACTTGAAGCTGAAGA